CATGTCAGCGATTTTAAAGAAAATCAACGCTGAATTCCACCATTTACATACAAGTTACAAGTTTACATACACCGAAGCTGAAAACACAAACTTCCACACAATACCATTTCATACGGTACAATGTATATCTATTCACAATTTGTAAAAATTACGAAGTTCGACCTGCAGTTTCACTGTCCATGGAGCTACAATGTACTTTCACGGCCGATCGCGTTGTTTGTCAACAATGACATTCATGTACATTCTCAATTTTCCCACTGCAGCACATTTCCAATAAATGAAAGATACAACAATTTTACATAAATATTAATTTATTTTCAAACAATTACGGGATGTCTCAACATCGTTGACAATGCGATATCAATGCCACTCTCACTATGTATATTTTAGCACTAAATCTAGTACTTTTTTGCATTAGTTCTACTAGCACTACTGTAAAATGGTTAATTATTCACTGGGTTTTAATTTGGCTCATTTTGCTGACTAAAAATGCGCTAAATTAAAGCCCAGTGAATATGTAAAATTTAGCATAGAACACATTATCTAAATGATAAAACCGTGAATTTAAAACCCACTGAATATGCCTGAAATGCTAAATCAGTGAAATTTAAACCCAGTGAAAATTAGTCATTTTACAGTACCTCCTATATATTTACAATTATGTACTGATACTTACGCTACACGCTCAAATTCCTTCTGTTCAATTTCATATTCTAATTTTAGTTGATGTATTTCAGTTTCATATTGATGTGATGTACCAACCAACTAATGAAAAAGTAAAAGAATGGGAGAACTAAATCAACAGAATAGTTATACCGGTAGTAGTGAAAGGGGAACCAATAGAGTAGTAGAGGCAAGATGGCCACCGCAATTAGTAAGCTAATCCGAACCAAGCCGCTCCCATCCTGGCGGGAGCTCTAAGAATTGTGCCATTTAAGATGTTTAGAGATCACTCTATGATTCCAAATACATTTTTACGGGGGCATGAGTATGTACTCTAGGGATTAATTACACTCATCTGGTTGGGCTTTTGATGTATAAATGTTTAAAATGGCGGCTAATGTATGCAAATTGCCTGTCAATCACAGTTTGAGTAAGCGAGCATAATAAGCATTTATTTACTTAGTGGTCAGAGGCGGAGTTAATTACCCATGAGCACGTGGTGCAATCCATGGGATTGAGCGGTTCCCCTTTAAGGTGAGTATATATATATTAGTAACATGCATAGATGATATAAATTAAAATATTTCAACTTGCGTGAGTAATTTCCTAATTAATTTACCTTTTTTTCCAGTGCCCATTTGTCTTGCTGTGCACAAAAAACACTATCAACCTTCAGAAACAATAAACAGATGGATTAACAATATTCATAAAGATTAACTGTTAGGTCAATCAAATGTAAAATGTATGACATTATATTTTGCAATATATCTTGATGCATGGCATAATAAAAGCTCTGTAGGTGAGACCAGCTAATTTTATATTACAAGTATCAATCTTACTCTTGATGTACATTTATCATGGTTTAATGTGCTCTACTTTTATCCACAGCTATGTATCAAAACGACCAAAAGCAAATCTAGCGAAGATTGCACTTAACGGATTTAACTTAAGGTAGCGAGACTATTATTATTATTTGTGTTGAAAATTATGATTTTCACATTTATTTATTAATTGATGAAATGCACTATAAACTTTCATCTGATAAAGTCAACATAAAATAGAATGTCAAGTAAGTTGGTTAAAATGTAGATTTTCTGAAGGGAAGCAATGCAGCTTCAGTAGTGTCAACAACACAGGTTTAATTTGTGTGCCTATAAGTTTCAAAGATTAACTCAAGACACAGTAATGTTAGGATGTGTTATCAGTAGCTATCTGACACACAATGAGAGTTTCCAAACATTTGAGTGGTTGGTCTCCGCCCCTGTTTATTTCACAGATTAGTCATTTGCATATGAATGTGTCAGACATAAGGTCACACAGCCACTGAAAAAAATCATTGATTTTGGTGTTTTCATCTGCCGATTTTATCGAACTATAGCTATCCCTTTCCTTTATTTTTTTGGTTTCGAATAGCCTTACACATTTGGATGCCCCAACACATG